AAATGAAATCCTTCTGTGAAACTGAGAGCTTTTTAGAAATACCTTATGAAAAGGGGATTTAATAAGTATGTTGTTTTCAGTGAGCTTGATTATGCTCTCATTTTCTTCTCTGTAAACTTTATGCGTATTTTTGCTCCATGTCTAAAGCTTCAAGTTGTAACAGTTGGTGAAAAGCAGGTAGCACAGCAGTAAAGTCAGGCTGTGGCATGAAAATGCTGTTGTCACTTGATCTAGTTAAGAATGCTTAACATTTAAAGAAGAGTTTGTGTGAGGTCATGATATTGATAGCAGGATTACAGACAAAAATTTATAGTTAGGAGTATGTGTTTCTTCGTGGAATAAATAGTTTCTGAGTGCAAGGTAGTATAAATTCTTTATTACAAAGCTCATAAATAATTTTTGAGGGGAGGAGAAAAGCTTGATTGGTAAGTTCTTAGTTGAGCCTTTCATTCAAAGTACCTAAAATGATATTAAGAAATAATGGTATTAATAGTAATGTATATTGTTGCATTTATATTTTTGATTTTTCTATAGCATGCTTTCCTTAGTTTTTAACTAATTATTTTTGATACCGAGTTCCCAATGTAGAACTGCCGTCCCTCTGTTCAACAAGGTTTCGCTCTGGGCCTCCTGGTGAAGAGGCTCAAGCAGCTAGCCAGTTCATTGCAGATGTGATTGAAAAGTAAGACCTATTTTAATGCATTTAAAACAAGAATAACTCTGCAAAACAACTTTCTGTTTTTTGATTTACTCTCTCATTTTATTTTAGTTCACAGATAATAGAGAAAGAAGATCTGTGTATTGCAAATGGCAAGGTAAGATGTATGTCAAAATGAAGAAGGACTTTTTAACAAGATCACGGTGTAAGGCCTTTAAAAAGGTATTTTAGGGGTAGTAGATTGTTAGTTTTTAGTTTTGGTGCCTTGGATTACATCTGAAAGTTAAGAAGATGATTATTGCTGTAAACATCTTTGTTCATATGGTCAGCACGTGCTTGAATAATACACAGTTTCTTTACCTACTGTAATATCTCACATACGCTACTCTTTTTTGGTAGCTTGCTTGGGTGCTATACTGTGATATCATATGTCTGGATTATGATGGAAACATTTTGGATGCCAGTACCTTTGCCTTGCTAGCAGCATTAAAAAATGGTAAGTTTTCTCTCCAGTAAGATCTGCACCCTCAATACTGTTGCTTGGAGAACTAGGCTAGTTCTGAATCACGGTGACTTGTCAACTAGTTTGTAATCGCTTCAACTGATTTTTTTGTCACAATAGAGTATTTCTAGATTTATTACAGTTTGAAAAATGTTTTTGATGCATCCAATAGATGATTGATAATTCACAAGTTTAGGGGTTAAAAGTGCCTGCAGGAGGGCAGTATAAAGGCATGCTTATGGCAAAGCCTCTTTTTTTTTTTAACTATGAACTGCTTGCCTCTGAATTCGTGGAGCATCTTTGCTTTCCATTTCCGTGATGCTGTCTCTGATACTGTCTGAGGGAGTTTCTATGGGTGTATAAACAATTACTGAGATGAGACTACATTCCTGTTCTTAATATGGCTAGTAGACCCTTGGGGAACAATGCTCTTTGTGAAACATGACTCTTTAGGTGTTGTAATTTTACATTTTAAAAGCAGAAAATGCTTCTGTGTAAAGAAGAACTTGAGGAGTAAAAATGAAATCCTTAGATAGTTCCAAGCTAAATCTGTTCATTTGATTCAAGATTTTTTTTTGTACAGAACACTGATAATGTAGCCTCATCTGTTATGATCATTATCATCATTATTTTCATCTGTTTCATCTGTGTGGCGTACCAGTATCGTAAAAGAAGAGCTTAAATATTTCTGTAGCCTTCATCATCTGTGTGCCTCCCCCAAACAATGTTGAATGACATATCATTGTGCTTTTTCCTTCTCTTTAGTACAGTTGCCAACAGTTACTGTAAATGAAGAAACTGGTTTATCGGAAGTTAATTTCAAACAGAAGAATCCTTTGATCATCAGAAAGCATCCAGTTGCCACGTCATTTGCTATATTCGATGAGTAAGTTGGTAAAGGTTTTGTACTTAAAAACAGCAGTGCAGTTAAGGGGAGAAAAACAGAGGATGCTACCCAAGGAGTTCACTTCTTACCTGTTTGTGCTAGTGAAGACTTTGCAGTGTCCGTCAACATGGCTTTATTTATCCTAGGCCTGTTTTGCTGAACTGTTCCTTGGTTCTGTGGTTTGAATGAGTAGGCAGCAGAACAGAGTGAACTCTGTCCAGCTTCTTCCTGTGACTTAAGATACACTTAAAAGTACTCTAGGATTGAAATAAGTTTCTGGAATGGGTATTGCTTTATGTTTGTGCAATGTCTTTGAAAAGTGTTACCAATACAGTTAATCTTTCAGAAACTGATGAATGCAAAAGATCTTATTTTTGAATAGCTTATAACAAAGACTTAGCAGAAGAGGTAATTAATAGCGCAGTCAAAAACAACAAAAACTCTGGATACCCAAAGATATAATTGCCCAATAGATGTATGACCAGCACTCTTAAATGATTATTCCTGTAGGTAAAGAATCTGATAATGAAAACTTACAGTAATGACATTGGACAGCTTGACTCCTCTCCTGAAATTATTTACTGGCTTTTCATTTAGTCTGTAAATTACACAATTACAATTGGCTCAGAAAATGTTTTCAAGTGTTAGTCTTTAGAATTTAAGTATTTTTGTTCCTGGGAATGCAGAGCTTGAATATGTTCTGTGGCTGTTTATAAAAAATGCAGGTATTTATGATGATACCTCTTTGAGATGCAAAAAAAAAATGACAAATAGGATGATGACTGTTCTTGGAATCAGTCAAGGCTTAGGTATTTTTAGGGTAGCTGGGGGTTATGGCATATTTACCTACATTAACAGAAATTACTAACAGACCTTTTATTCAAACACAAGAGGCCTAGGATGAGCAGAGGGGATGCCAAACTCCAATGGTGATCATCTGATTATCAAAATGAACCAAACTAGGAGTTATAAGTACGTTAGAGTGTTTCTGTTAATTGCTATAATACGAATTCTTGCGTGGTTTAGATTTAACATAGACTAAAAGAGAAAAATTATATCTCATGATAGACACACAGTGATCAGTATGGCTAAGTATGTTAGAGTGTTTCTGTTAATTCTTGTGTGGTTTAGATTTAACACAGACTAAAAGTGAGAAAAATTGTATCCCATGATAGACACACAGTGATCAGTATGGTATTATTTGTACTTAAATCATCCGTACTCATCCACAGACAAAAGCTGCCCTTAGGAGGAGGCTCTGCACAGTTAGGCCGTGTGGGTCTTTGGGTCCTTCCTGCTTTCAGTGGCACTGACCCTGCATCATCCAAGTTCCTGTTTTTAAGTCTGCCCTCATCTCCTAAGACTAAACAACGATGGTGTGTGTGAATGTGTGTAGTATTTCTCAGGTGTTGGCACAGCCCTCCCAATAACAGCTTTACATTCCCTGGCTTCTACAGACATTTTTCTTCCTGACTAAAAGCCTTGAGTGAGTAAAACGTGGGCTACTGGGTGGTGGCTCTGGGCCAGACACACTCATGCACAGCACCCGGCATGGCCCCTGCTGAATTGGCCTGTGCATAAATTGTCTGATGCAAATACTTGTAACAGCACTGTTTTATTTATTTATTTATTTATTTATTTATTTATTTTTAAGAAGAAACTAAGGCTGACTTGTAGTTTGTTTTGTTTTCTGTTTCATTTTATTTTCCAGTACTTGTTGTTGTACAGTGCTGGCTCCCAGGTGACATTGTCTATGATCAGTGTTAGAAATCTGATCAGAAATTGAGAATTACTTTGGTAAACTTGCTGTGCTTACCTTAAGGTCTGGTAATGAGGTTAGTGTGCAGTCCATGCAAAACAGTAACACTCTCCTTATGTAGCTGTGATTAAGTGTTGCAAAGGGTAGTTTATTGATGTTTTCCTTTATGCGTAATAATTCCAATGGTAAGTCTTTATAGACTCAAACAGACCTTTGAATTTAATGTTGAATCTTCCTTGTAATTTGCTTTTCCTTCTTTTTAAATTGGTGTATTTTGATAACATAACTGGTGTTACTTAACCTGTGCAGTAAATTACACTAGATTTTTGGTAGGATTACATTTTTCTTTTTAAATAGCAACTTCTGTTTTGCAATGAAATTAATAGATCCCCGATATACAATATGTCTGCATGTTTTCTTTCAAAAGCTCATTACTGATTGTTGATCCAACTGTAGAAGAGGAAGATTTAGCAACTGGAACAGTAACTGTTGTAACTGATGAAGAAGGCAGACTATGTTCAATCCATAAGCCAGGTACTTCTGAGTTTACTATAAAGAAATTATGGAGATGACAAACTTTTTTTTTGATCCAAATGTTTTACCTACATTTCTTTGTAAAATTGTGTCAGATGAGTGGCTGGAAAGCTTACTAAGTCACTTGCTCTTGACATTAATTAAGTCTGAAAATGGTAGCATGACTTTCCTTATTTTAAAAAAGTCATAGCTAGCCTTATGTGTATTCTTGACGTGTAAACAATAATAGATCTTGTACAAAGTCTTACACTTAAAAGACAAAAACCTAAAGCAAACTTGACAGCTTCAGTATAATTGGTGAAGCTATATATTCCTCAGATATAAGTTGCTGGTTCTAAGAGTTTGTGTATTATTTAACGTTTTCACTTGGAAAATAGATGTAAAGAAATCTAACCAAAGTATAAAGGGAAAAAACAAGTTGCTTTTAATTTTTAGGTGGAAGTCCTCTGACAGGAGCCAAGCTTCAGGACTGTATCACCAGAGCTGTTACAAGGCATAAAGAAGTAAAGAAGCTGATTGACAAAGTGATAAAAAGTATACAACCCGAATGAACAAAAGGCAAGATCTTTTCAAAAATGGATTTGTAAAAATTGTATTTGTTACAGTGTTCACAACCCTTTTATACTAAATAAACAAATACCAATACTACATTTACAAAGTTCATTTTTCTAAAATGATTTTCACCCTTAGACTATATACAATGCTGCCGAATGGTAAAAAATACAGGATAAAACATTCTGTTAAAAAAGTAAATGACTTAAGGAAACCAAGCCCTAGCTGCTTTACAGGTGAACTCTCTAATTTCCAAAGGGCTGGCTTCCTAAAGCAGTTCCATTTATTACAGTGTAGTTTCAATGGTTCATTTTCCCACCAGCAATGTAAAACACTGATTTGTTTTTAAGCTTTCTCCTTTTTAAACTTAAAAAAATCCCCTTTGAATCATTAATTATATATAGAAAAAAATGCAAGTCTCAGGATTTTGGAGGGGCCGGCGTGCCTCTCTTCCTTTTACTTTTTGAGTGGCTGCCTGAATGCTGTTGATGTCGTAGGTGAGCTGCTTGTGCTGCTGCTGCTGCCATAGCCATTTGATGCTGCAAGAATCGCAACTGCTGCCATGAAAAAGGAGGGGGAAAAAAGTTTGTTAAGACTTGGCTTTATAGCTACCTTCCATCTCAGAGAGAATGACAGGAAAGGAAAAATGAAATAAACTGAGACTTTAAGTACAGGGTTAACAAAAAGGAATATACCACGTACTGGGGCAATAAGTACAGTCAAGCAGCACCAGTGGCACAGAAGCCTGCTGAGGGCTCTTAACCTGTCACCTTACACATACACGTAGTGCTGTTTCTTCGCCCTCTCGGTTGCAGTAACTGCAGTAACTCAGCAACTTCAGTCAATCTGTTTGGTTTAGCAGTACATTTTTAGCATAGTATTTCTTCAGCATGTGTATTTTCTACATGTATCACCTGAAGGAGATTGTGTGATAGAGTACTAAGGCATTTTTATATAGCTATAAAAATATGCTAAAGGAATGCTTTGCCAGAGCTGCTTTTTCCATGTACTAACGGGAGCTGTGCTACATTACAGGTGCTTACAGTTCATGCTGTTGCACTATTCTGACATCCTAATGGCACCTGGCACAGCTTATTTTTAATGTGCCACAAGCACTCCTTGAATGTTGTCAAATCAGGAAGGTGGATGGTTTACATGAATAAAAATAAATTCAGTGCTCCAAGCTGAGATAACAACAGATTTTAAGTCTTTCAAGGTGTAGTTTACCAAAATGTTTTATTGGTTGAGAGACCACAAAGACAGTGAAAAAATAATCCAAGGGACAGAATTTTTGCTTTTGGAGCTGAGAATTGTATTTTTTTGTTTGTCTGTTTTTGTTTTTAAATGCAGTCAGAGCGAAGTTGCTGGATTACTTGTATCTGTTGCTGCTGCTGCTGCAAGGCTTGTTGTTGCTGTTGAAAGGCAGAAGAGAGCTGGAGTCTCTGCTGAGGAAGGCTTTGCTCAGGGCTGTTCATGGCAGAGCCAAGCTGAGACAACACTATGGAAAGGAGAAGGGGAAAAGCAGGCAGGTCAAAGAGGTCAGGTTGAGTTTGTCAGGGTTGGGAAAGGAAGACATGGGAATAGAGAGCAACAGAAAAGGGGATCAAAAGAATTAGTCTCAAAGTAAAAACTGGAAACAGTACAGAATAAAGTATACGTGATATACATACTCGGTTAGTTAGAAGGTAATTAGATTATGAGGTGCATGTAGAGACACAAAAAAGAGTTCTGTCATACTGGATGTTAAGCACACAGTTAAAGAAACATTCCGCAATGAAGTCTGGCATGGAAGTTCTCTGTTTTTTTTTTGTATTAAGTGTGACTTAATTCCATGTGCTTTAAAGATAACTCATTTACTATGCTTAATAAATGCTAAACAAAACAGAGAAGTGCATGTGTGGAAAGAAGCTATTTCTTGTGTAACTCGTGCTAATAATAAAGAGTAAATTGTTTTGATTTAAGACTGCTGTAAGACCAAACTTCATTTCAGTATGAATTTACCAACATACACAAGTACAAGAGGAGGCTCAGCAAGCACATACCTGTGGCCTGAGGTTGCATAAAATTCCCCACTCCAGTCAGGTTAATCACAGCAGCTTGCTGGGCGGATAGGGCCTGATCTTGGGTGGATGGACCTTGGTCGGACCCCTAGAAAAACAGACAAGCTTGGTCCTTATTTCCAAAATTTGACACCAGTCAATAAATAAAGCTGTCATGAAGACAAATGGTTGAAGTGCCTTTTTCAGACTCTTAATTCTGCTTTTTGCAGTGAATGCAGATACAGGTAATACTGTAGTCATACAGGTAATAGTCACTACTGAAGCTGTACCTAGAGCTGCTGAAAGCCCCAAAGCAGCTCTGGCAGGAATGACAGTGTTAGCCCTGTTACCTAGTGGAAGGCCTGGGAAGAGGGCAACTGCCCCACTGAAAATCAGCAGCGACACCTTCATGTTCAGGTTTCTAATCATGCCACACTTTATCTCCTACCCACCACACCTGAAGTCTGCAGCTGGCACCTAAGACTACCCACATATGAAAATCCCCATCATAATCAAAATAAGAAAAGCCTGAAATGTTTATTCACCACATTGTGCCACGCTTTCCTTAGTTTCACAAAAAAACTACTTTTAAAATTTTATTTTCAGAACAAAGCATCTCCCACGTTAATCACACGAATTTAATTACTACAGCCTGATCTGCTGCCCATTGAGGTCACTTTTTGCTAAATTATGGCCTGTTTTAAGAACCTGTATTAATTTTAAAACCTGGAAAACAAGTGCTTACGCATGTTATTACATATGTGATTCAAGCAAGCCGGGTGGCTTATCATAAGGGAAGGAAAAGGAATGAAATCTGACCTGCTGTAGTGCTTCTTTAGAATAACCGTATGAAATAATGGCCCTAAGATCTAGCTAAACTTTGCTAAAAGACTGAACATTAAAGAAAATAACATGTTATGGTAGTGTGTATTAACACATATATATGTTTTTTTACAAATTAAAGGAATAGAAACAATATCTGCAAAAAAATGAAAAAAAACCCCTTAAGTATGAGAAAAGTATGACTGTATTCTGTAGGGAGAAAATGAATTTCTTTTTGGCTGAAGTTCCTTTTTTTTGTTTCCCCACTGAGCACTTAGAGGACAACACTCAGAGCAAATACAGTTCTCATTTTTGCTGAATTTAGTATTTAATTGCTGGTTTTAGCCAAACAACCCCTGCCCTACTCTGTAACTTGTGGTGAAATAAAAGTTCCTTAGGGACAAGCTCCCCAATGCTGTAAGACTTATTTCCTCCACGTGCACTTTGCAAAAGGCCTCAGATCAGCCTTTGTGCCTGCTTTTAATTCAGTGCCTAGAATAGAAAACCTAAAAGCAACAGCTTGCCTATTTTTTTTTTTAATGATTCAACTAGTAACTGACATTTGTATGCTGAGAATAAATCCAGAAGTCTCTCATTAAGCTGTCACACATTCCAGACCAAGACCTGTGACACTGGAGCCTTTCTTCTAAGAAACCAACTTACATAAAAGAAAGCCAGTAACATATTAGACTAATACTCTTATTTTCAAAGGCATCCTATTTATGGCCAGTCTGCAGCAGCTCAAGTAAAACTAAGGGAAACATTTGTGCATCCAGTGGAGACCGTTTGGTAAAACAGAAATCTTCAATGTCCAGGAGACAAAGGGGTTTGTAACTATAAAGAACACAAAAGCAGAACAGCTATAGTTTTCCCCAACTGCTGTATGAGTCTTGGTAAGATTTTAGGCACAGGTGGAACCAGCCACTCAAATTTTGTTATTTTGAAAACAGATTATTCTCCACCAAGAGTTCAGACTTCCTCATTGATTATAGCCTTAACACTGATTATAGGCAGCAGTAAAGCAAATTAAGATTACAGCTTTAAAGCCAACAGGTACTTTCTTGGGTGCAGAGAGAACAATTTTGTTAAATGACAGCACTGAGGAATAAGCCAACTCCCAAGAGAGCAAGGAGGAATTTTCAGTTATTCTTTGGTAGTCCTGCTGTGTGAATCTTCCCCGAGGTGGACGGTATCTGCTAGGTGTGATGAACAGGTCCACACCACGTTTGCACCACTCGTACGGTGGGCAGCCCCCCTCACGGCAGGGCAGGATGGTGCGTGGGCAGTTTTTGCTATTGCTCTTTACTATAGGATACAAACAGGTAACTATGACCCAGCTCCAACCATGGCACTGAAGGCACTGCAGTCTTTGCAGTTTCAGAAGGATTTGGAGGATGCTTCCCCCCACATCTGTTTTAGATCTGCTGTGCTGTTTAGATCTGTGGCTTATTTGTTTTGTGGAGCTTGGCAAGAATAGGAGAAACTGTTTCATCCCAGCACCCCAGGCTGAGGGCTGTTAGCACACTCCCTGTTGCTGAGGACTACAGGGTTGTAGCACGTTGAGATTGTTGCTGTGGAGAAAACTGCTGCTGTTGTTGCTGGACTGGATTAAAAATAAGTGAACAACCTGGAAGCTGCTGAAGATTGAAAACAAAAGGCATAATTCAATCAAACTGCTGAGTTCCCCACTGTCCTAGGTTGAGTATGATATTGATGCACTCCTTGGAGATTTTTAAAAAATCCTTTAAAATGAATCACTTTACAATTGCTTTTGTTTTTAAGAAAGCCTCATGCTCAGAAAACAAAACGGAATTAGATGTAGCTAGATATTTCTACAGCAAAATATGTTATCATTGTTTTAATTAAAATAGTAGAGATTACACCAGCAATGGATTATTAAGTCTTCAAAAGAACAGAATACTAATTTAATTCAGAATATTCCACTGTGTTTAGATGTTTCCAATCAATGGTTTGTGAAGTTCAATGCAAAGAAATGTTAAAATGAAACAGTTTTGATTTGTCTCATTCCAGTTTTACAGTATCAATTGCACTGATTTTAGCTAAATTAATCCTGACTTACACAGATGTCAGACATAGCCTGAGTGGGCACACTTTGATTTGGAATCAAAAACAAGCATTTCACTGTACAGAAGAGCTCTCCCCTGGCATAACTGCCTCCCATGCCAGCCCTATTCCCTGTTCCTGGAGCACGTGCAGGAGTGGAAAGAGGAAGCAGCAAAGCTGTGGCTGATCTTTCACTACTATTAAATTCTGGAAGAATGGTGCTTGGGAAACTTTTCTTTTTTTGTAGAACCTGGGATTTGTGGCAGTTGGAAGCTGCAACTTGCAGGTGGCTGCAGGACTAGGAACTAAATCCAGCCCCATGAACATTCCCATTAGGCCTTTACATTGTGCTGAGACATAACTAGTGTCCTTTGTGCATGTTTGTTTGTTTACCTGTTTAATGAAAATATTTATAGAGCCTCTAAACTCTCTTACCTTAAATGAACCTCTACTTGCACAACCAAAAGCTCTTTTACAGCAATCACTGCACCTATCGCTGCAAGCTCAGCTCAGCTTTTAGGCCCATTCGTGTAGTCATTAGTGGCTCTGCTGTACTGCTTTGGGCTTTTCAAACAGACATAATTTCCATTTAAAAAAGTATCAGCACTGAAAGCCTAGGCAAACGCTGAAAATGAAAGATGGTATTTCAGATATTTAATCTCTTTCATTCAAATGTCAGCATTTTTACATTGCTACTGAGAAAATAGCTGCTTCGTAGTGAGCTGAGAATGTCATTTCCACTTACAGTCTTTATGGAACCAGCTTTTCCTCTGTTTTAATTGTTTTAAATAATAATCAAAGATTTACAATAAATGGCTTGTTCCTGATAAACTGCCTTCAAAGAGCTGTAGCAGGGCAACGTATAAAAACCACCACACTTGTTTACAAAGCAACGTGAAAAGTTGTTAGTGTTAGTGTGCACAGTTAGTGTATCAATTACCTGTAGAAGATTTAAGGGTCGAAGATTTGATGCATTTTTCAGACCAAAGGGGCTGCCTGTTAAAGAAAACATCTTTTCATTAGTAGAAAGTCATTACCTAGCTATATGAGTGTTGCATCCCATATACCCCTCCATTAGGATTATCTCTAAGCATTTGGAAGGTGGAACTTTACGCAGTGCTGCATTTTCCCTAGTCAGGAAGAGTGCAGCTGCCTGGCTTTAAACTTAGTCCCGAAAGAAAACTGCATCACTGCTAAGCATGGTGCACTGTAAACCCTATATAATAACCCGTTGCTGCATTTACAACAAAGGTGAATGTGGAGGATATTACAGCAGTTATTCCTCAGTGATTCTTCTCCTGGCTTTTTTTTTTTTTTTTTACGGCTTGTGCAGCACTCATTGACATAAGCAAGTTCTTACAGTTTCTTTAGAGAGAAAATTTTAATGTGGCAAGTGGCAAAAAAAAATGAATAAAACCACTCCACATCTTAACCACTGTCCTCCATACAAAAGCTTCTGGAAAGACATTTCTGTCTTCCATAAAGCTTTTGCCATTATTCTACATGGCATTCTTCAAATGCTATAATAAAAAAAAATATATATATAAAGTTTGTATATAGTAAGCTATAAGCTTGATTAAAATGCTTCAATAAAACAGAAGCTGTCAAACAGAATTCCACAGAGGTCTGCCTCAGACCTAATTCAAATGACTTCCACTTGTTATGTGGACAATGGTGTTTGTAAAATCTGTGTATGACACCAAAACTGCTAAAATTGCATAATGCTTGGAAGTACAGAAATAGAACTAAAGTGATACTAGTATTTTGGAGAAAAGGTCCCAAATCAATGATAGTATACTCAAAAAAGACAAATGAGCAGATACAATATGGTGAATAGCCAGCTTTGCATCTATATAGCAAGAAAGTATGTGAGAAATTACAGTAAATCACAAATGTATCTGCAACATCAATATCACATGCTACAGAACACACCACCCTTCACATATAGTGCACACTTATAAAACTCACTGTTACAAGATGCTGTAGATGCCGAAAATATAAACAGGTTCAAGAAGCAATAAATAAGTATAGATAGATCCACAGAATAAAAATCTAGCAAGGGATATTAAGCGCAAAGGTCCATGTGGGCAGCCTTTACTGAGACCATCTCAAAGCTGCAGATTGCCAGAAGAGGTGGGGGCTGTTCGCCAAGGGAAGGGTCGCTCTGCACTTGCCTGGTCCTGCACACTCTCCCCTACGTGGTGTCTAATATCCACTGCCAGAGACACAATATGAGCTGGGTGGATTTTTGGCCTAACCCAGCACAGCCATTCTTATGTTAATGTAATTGCTGTTGCAAAAAAATACAAGTAAAAATAGGCAGACCTCCTCTGGGGAAATGTTAACAGGAATGTTGTGAAAGAGATGAGATGCAGTTATTCTGCTGTGCTCCACAGTGGTAAATCAGCCAAGCTCAGGCTTGTATCCAGTTTTGGGTATCACATTTTAAGAAGGATGTAAGCAAATTGGACAGTCTAGAAGAAAGTGACAGGATTATGAAAGGTTTGAAAAATACGATCTATCAGAAAGAGAAGACAAATGTGGGACATGACAGCATGTTTCTAATATTTAGAAGGCAAAGAGAAGGGATCAACTGTTCTCACGTCTGCAAGGAACAGGATAAAAGAAATAACTTAATTCACAGTAAAGAAGATGCATTGTAATTAGAAGGAAACACTTTGTACGGACAGTGAACTACTCCAAACAGCTACTGAGACTGGAATCTTTGTCAGCAAAGGAATTTAAAGACATTTTGGGTACACATTGGTCATGTTTCAGTGTAAGAGATAGCTATCAAAGCCTTATCTACCCTTCTCATCCATAATCACACACTAGGGATTTTGTCTTTATTATATTCTCATTAAAAAAATAATAGAATTTATATGTTCCTTTAATGAGAACTCAGGCCTATAGATTTGTACAGCCACACATGAAAGCAGTAATGGACTAATTGTTCTAAAAGAACGAATCAGTATCAGGGATAGAATAAGGCACCACAGTCATTTGGAGAAGGAGGCCTCTTTCTAAATTCTGTCACACCTTTTCCTCCTGGCAGTCACTGTTATCCAAGTTGCATCTGACTCTGAATGCCCCTTAATGCAAACTGCTTGCTGGGCACAGCCGATCACAGAGTCACGTGGGGAGTGTTTCCCCAGCCCAGCTCCTCAAAATCACAACCTCAGGCAATTTCAGCCATAGCCTAAACTTAGGAGGCAAAAATATTTACGCTGTTCCTAAGCTCAGGTCATCACATATGCACCATTCACACACCAGCCCCTCTTGTCCACTGTTCTTACAGAATGTTTTCACACTGTCACCACCTGAAGATGCCTTTTTGGCTTTTCACACTAACCTGCTTGGGAAGCAGACTGCATTGCAGCGGGCAGCGCACTTGGTACCAGGCCTCCTGATGGTAAAATGCCACTCAGATTTATACCTGCAGGGGCTATGGCACCAGTGTTGCACCCCAACATAGGGTTTGAGCCACTCATCAATGTCTGTGCTCCACTGTAGAAGAGGAAAGACAACACATCAAACCCAAGAGGTACAAGTACATCTGAATAACTACATTCTATCCCTCTGTCACATGACAAGTAAACTCGGTTGCTTCCTCTAAATGGAATTATGGATAAAGCTTCAAAATATGTAGATCCATTTTTCCACATATACATTTTTTTGCTTCAGTATAACCTATGAAAAATAAAACCTAAGTGGCTCTTTTATTCTAAAGATATTAGAAAGTCTGGAGATCTTCAAAACCATTCATGGTTTGGAGACCATTCAAAACCATTTGAAGACCATTCAAGTTTGAATCGTCATCAAAACCACTGTGATATTGTAACAGAAAGCTGAAGAACAGGTTCATATTCTCCTTTTGCACCATGAGAAGCCTGCTTAATGAAGCAACAGTGATTGACTTTTGCATATCTCAAATGAGTAATTTAAGTATAACACATGCACTGAGGCACACCATGTCACTTGCACTGGCCATCTTACATTTACCAGGAAATCTCATTTACTCTCACGTAGTTTTCTTATATCACATGATCCACTCCTAACAGCAGCACTACTTTAACAACAAAATGAGTTTTAAGAATCATAATAAGTTTAACCTCAATGCTTAAGTAACTGTTAGAAATCATTTATAACTGTTATAAATAGTTTTACATGGTATTGTAAAAATAGAGATTCACAGAGACTTTAATATTTTATCTCTACTTTTCATTTAGAAAGGTCTGCATATGAGATCTCATTTCATCTGTCATGATCAATAACAAAATCAAATTCATAGAAAAGCAAAACCTAAAAAATACTGCAGTTTTGAAGTAAAGCTTATGAGAGGAAACAGCCTTCACCTTAAAAACTCCAAATACAAGGTTCCTTATAGACTGTATTCAACATTTTGATAGCAGATGCCTTAAATTTGAGCTACTAGTTTCTAATTGTTCTTTACTACATAACTGCAAGGTGAATGACCTTTCCATATTGCAGATCCTGAAAAACATCTACCTCAATGTGCTGCACAATTCACCCCTCCATCCGCCCCTTCCCCCAGCTCCCCCCCAGCCAAGATAAATTAAGACACCGTCGTAACAAAGAACTTACCACACAGAGCCCACTACATTGATGAAGTTAAGTCCTGCTGGGTTTGCCATGACCTGCGTGGAGGTTGTTCCTGTAGTAATGGATGTTACCATGGTGGAAAGAGGAATGGTCATTACAGGCAGTGCCTGGCTCAGAGACATCTGCTGCTGAGCAAACGGGGTTAACAAAGTGGGCTGAGGGGTGAAGCCTGAATCTTGGGGAGTAGGGGTGGCAGAAGGGGTAATAGGAGTTGAGCTCTGAGCATCAGGAGGGTGTGGGGTCGATGAAGGGGTGTTGGTTGGAGTAGGAGTAGATGGTTTAGGAGTTCCAGACCCTGCTCATTGAGAAAAATAAAAAGTGCTAGTTTGTTATAAAAGGCCAGTCTTTCTTGTATAATACGGTTAATGGAATCTTATTTAGCTGTTCCAGTTTTCAAACTGCAAGTGTTAATTCCTACACTACACGAGTGTAGCAGCACGCACTGATTGCTAAGGATGCAGTATATCACACAGAAACCCCCTTCTCCATGCCTAACTCCTTTAACCAAACACAAATTTGTATCATCCCTCCAAAATTTCTGGCACATTAAGTCATAACTCTATTCAGACATATTTAAGTCAAAATACAACAATTTTTCTTAGTGACCATTTTAACCTAATTAATGTTTTTGTTCTAAAATGTTAAACATATACTGTATAAGCACTGCCTGCACAATAGCATCATGTTAAAAAACATATCATGGAAAACAACAGAATCAACAAAGAACAGATACTATTTCAGTAATTGTGGGGTCAATCTAAATTTGATCAGACAGCTAAACTCCCATTTGCCAATTTTTGACCAAATGAAGAAAAAAAAAAAAAAAGAGGATAATACTGCATCTTTAAAAGTTATTGTGTAATTCCTTATGCTTAAATGTAGTATGTATAGCAATACTGTTGTGGATGCAGTAAGCACAGTTTATCAATAGAAGAAAAAAAAAAAAAGCTCTTGAGGTGTTTTCTTTTTTTAGCTTTCATGTCCTGCAGAAAGAAAGGAAAAAAATGTGAATGTCCAAATGCTGTGACCAGAGCCTTACTTACAGTAACAACTGTGTGCAGTAGATTTACACAATCCTTATCAATAACATAAAAAAGTGAGTAAAACTGTTAGAAGAAAACTCTAAGTTTTCTGTTTTTCTTTGTGCAAAACAAGAAGGCAGAAAAATTACACCTTTTGAGCTATCCATATTTCAAATTATTTAATTGAAAAAAAAAACACATTAAAATACTGTGCAGGATCCTGGAATGGTCAGTATACAATTATCCATAAAAAACTGAAAAACTGCAGCTGTGACCTCTTTGTACAAATCTTCTCACAAAATGCCTCAAGACACATACATATTTTAAAACTGTTTATGATCTTATTACAATAATCCTACCAGTGTTAACGAAAAAAAAAGCACATCACTTGTTATTGAAATTTACATTTTGACACCTAAGAATATGGTGCTATTAGCAGCAGCATCACCACCACACTTGCAATCAGCAATGATTTGTAAAACAGTGTAGGAGTGTTTTAAAAAATCATCTTTGAGTTTATTGTATCACCACCTTGGGACTGATCAGATTATATACATACATAGAAATACAACTGCACCAGCTCCTAAAACATTTTTTTAAACAGATGCTTAGATTATGTAAAGGCAAACTGATCTAACACACTGTTTTTACACTGGAGGAAAGATCTACACTTTGGAATGGTACGTTGTAACATTATCTACCACCCTTTCATAAAAGAGGAGATCATAGTTATTGCATAAAATATATTAAAACGTATACACAAAGGGTGCATACATATATACAGAAAAACAAACACAATTACAATAAACATAAAATACATACAGTGAACAAGAGACCTGCCTGAAGCTGCACAACTTATACAATTTAGGGTACACTGTACATTTAAACGTCATCATTCCACAGGTTAAGGAGTTTATCCCAAGAAGCATTTATGCAAAAGCCTAAGATTTAATGGAGAATTTAGGTCGTGACTCACTTTGTGAAGAGCTCGCAGGAGACATGGCGGCTGGAGAGAGCATGCTAACTTGATTAAGATCCATAGATTGTTTCCGAGAAAGACCGGGAGGCTTAGAAGGAGGAGGAGGAGTTGGGGATTTTAGGTGGCCACTTGACTGCTGTGGACTAAAAATATTACCTGAAAAAGCATAATTAAAATACATTATGGTTTCGTGAGTTGATGGTAACCTGTTACTACACAAATTCCTGATAAATGTAATTGGAAATCAACAAAAGGATGCTTTGCAAGACTCTTTTCACACATCAGAAAATCTTTTTTTAAGATTAAGATTTTACTAAAGTAATAGTATGTCACTTTGTAATTGTCAGAACACATGGAAAGGAGACACTAAAAATCAGTAAATAATTACCTGAAGAGCTACTTCCTGAACTTGAAGGTAATTTGATAGGAGGAGGTCGGTGTTTTACACCTTTCCCCAATACTGAAGACTGAACAGAGCCTGATATACTTTCTGGCTGCTAGGAGGAAAGAGAAATTAGCACTACCTTAGCAATGATGTAAGCTTCCATATCTGACAGGAAAGTATAACAATCCAAATAATCTGTAAAAAAATTCTCAAAACCATGATAAAATGCTTTGGAAATATTATTGCAGTTTTTTTAAACCATAGCCCTATGACTGACTCTCCCCTTATGAAGAAGAAACTCCAAAGTGCTGTTAAAATTTAAATATAGCTGGAAAAAAAAAGTTTTTCTTTTTTTCTGAAGCTTTTCTTGGCATCTATTCACAAATGGAAGTGTCAGAAACACAATCACAGAAGAGTTGAGGCTGGAAGGGAACTCTAGATCATCTGTCCAAACTCCCTGCTGAAGCAGGGTCACCTACAGCCACACTGCCCAGGACCTTAACTAGGCACCTTCTGAATATCTCCAAGGAAGGAGACTCAACAACTGCGCTGGGCAGCCTGTTTGAGCACTCTGTTACCCTCACAGTAAAATATTTTTTTTCCCTTATGTTCAGAAGGAACTTCCTCTGCTTCAGTTCGTTTCCGTTGCCTCTTGTCTTATCCACCACCAAGAAGAGTCTGGCCCCATTCGCTTTAAACTCTCCTTTCAGATACTTACACAAATTGTAAAGATCTCTTCTCCAACCTATACAGTCCCAGCTCTCTCAGCCTCTCTTTGTGTTCAGTCCTTTGATCGTCTCTGTGGACCTTGACGGGAATCACTCCTGTGTCTCCATGTCTCTCTTGTATCAGGAGTCCAGAACTGCACACTGTACTCCAGCTGTGGCCTCACCAAGGCTCAGTAGAGCAGGATGACCTTCTTTGAGCTGTTAGCAATGCTCTTCCTAGCACAGATCAGTGGGCTCCTTTGCCAAAAGGGCACATTGCTGGCTCTCAGTCAACATCTTATCCACCAAGATGCCCCAGGCTTTCTCTGCAGACCTGCCTTCCATTAGGCCAACCCCCGATATGGTCTTGAAAAAATATTTCATTTCACTCTGTATTCATTTCCCATTTCTAATCAGTTATGACTTGGAAAACAGGATTAGGCTTGGACATTCTGAGAGTAGGACTTTCACAGAATCACAGAAGGGTTGAGGTTGGCAGAGACCTCTAGAGATCATCTAGCCCAACCCCCTGCTCCAGCAGGGACACCTAAAGCATGTGGCACAGGGTGGCATCCAGGCAGGTTTGGAAGATCTCCAGAGAAGGAGACTCCACAACCTCTCTGGGCAGCCTGTTCCAGGGCTCTGTCACCCTCACAGGAAAGAAGTTCTTCCTCATATGGAGATTAAACCTCCTGTGTTTCAACTTGTACCCATTACCTCTCGTCCTATTTCTGGCCACCACCGAGAAGAGTTTGGCTCATCTTCTTTACATTCTCCCCTCAGGTATTTGTATATATTGATCTGATATCCTCTCAGTCTTCTCCAGGCTAAACAAGCCCAGCTCACTTAGTCTTTCCTCATACAACAGATGCTGCAGTCCCTTAATCATATTCATTGCTCTACACTGGACCCTCTCAAGAAGCTCAATGTCCCTCTTGTAGTGGGGAGCCCAGAACTGCACCCAATACTCCAGGTGTGGCCTCACCAGAGCTGAGCAGAGGGGCAGGATCCCCTCCTTTGACTTGCTGGCAACGCTCCTCCTGATGCAGACCAGGATCCCATTGGCCTTCTTGGCCATGAGGGCACACTGCTGACTCATGGTTAACCTGTTGTCAGCCAGGACTCCCAAATCCCTCTCTGAGTAGCTGCTTTCCATCAGGTCAACCCCTAATCTGTGCTGGTGCCTGGGGTTATTTCTCCCCAGGTGCAGGACCCTGCACTTGTCCTTGTTGAACCTCATGAGGTTCCTCTCTGCCCAACTCTCCATCCTGTCTAGGTCTCTCTGAACAGCAGCGCAGCCCTCAGGAGTGTCAGCCACTCCTCCCAGTTTGGTGTCATCTGCAAACTTGCTGAGGGTGCACTCTGTGCCCTCGTCCAAGTCACTGATGAACAAGTTGAACAGCACTGGGCCTAGCACTGACACTTGTGGGACACCACTGGCCACAGGCCTCCAACCAGACTCGGCCCCATTTACGTTCTGGGCTCTGCCATCCAGCCAGTCCTCAATCCACTTCACTGTCCACTCATCCAGTCCACACTTCCTAAGCTCTCCTATGAGGATGTTATGGGAAACAGTGTTGAAAACCTTGCTGAAGTCAAGGTAGACAACATCCACGGCTCTCCCATCGTCCATCCAGCTGGTCACTTCACTATAGAAGGCTATCAGGTTGGTCAAACATGGCTTCCTCTTTGTGAATCCATGCTAACTACTCCTGATCACCTTCTTTAGACTTCAAGCACTGCAAGGAAACCCTGAAACTGCAGAAATCACCAGGCCTCTTAATCAGCCTTCCTGGGCAGTTTAGTCTTCACTGATTCTCCATAATAAAACAAAACTTGTTACCCTTCATTTACATAATTCTAACTATTTTCTTACAAAAAGGAATCTTTTGAAGAAACTGCCAGGATTGCCCTTCTCTCCTATAATATATATAAAAAAAAACTTCTCTAACTCTGAAAATTAAAGACTAATGGACCATTCAAAATGAGACTAGATTGTTAATAAAGTAACCTGAGTAACTTAGGCCCTGCTTTCAGTGGGGGTTTGGACAGCAAGAGACTTCCATAGATACTCTTCCCACCCAAAATTGTCTGCTTTAGTACACACAGATATATATATATACACACACACACACATATATCTATGCTCAGACATATACATATCCCGCCTACATGTGTATATATGCACATATATTAATTTATACATGTCTGTCCAGATGTATACATACATACATACTACTTCCTCTCTGCAATTGTTGGCTTTTGACTACTTTTTTTGACTAATGCAAAGAATTCTTTCAAATAAAGGTTATTCTAGGTTAAAAGTGGATATCTAAGAGAGAGATGCAGCAAAGTGAATAGCCCCCATTTATTGAAATCCGTTTTCTAGCTGGTAAACACAGCTTACCACTGGAGTACTGAATCTGACCAAGAAAACCAGCACAAATCAATAAATATAGGGCAATGTCATGTCAGACATGAGAATCTGGTAATGCAGCTATCTCTACTGCATGTGTACATACAAACGCAGGTGTCTTCAAGATTCTTTTTTTTAAAGTTTGCCTCTTCAAATTCAGGTAAAAACGCTTTTTTTCAGCAGGGTAGAGGGTGTAAAAGAAAAAGTGCAGCTGCTACATCCGACTGTTACTGGCCTGTGCTGGAATGTGCACAGCTGTATTCTCCTAAACAGCTCTGTGAAAGACATCTGACAGTAGGTCTACAACAGAACCTGTGACCAATAAAAACAAAAGTATTTTCCTGCAACCTCATTACAACATATTTAGCCTGAATGATTGATTACAAGGTTTAAAAATTTCTTCTGAAGAAATATGCCACTTTTTTTTAAGCAAAGATCCTTCTAATGGTTTAAAAATCAAATGCAAATGTAAGAAATGCAGTGCTCAATAAACTCACTTCCATTTCTTTCCCTGGAGAAAGATGGCTAAGATTGACGGATCCACCTGAATTATGAATCATTTTCACAGGACATTTAGCTTCATTCTGTACTAACTCTTGGTACTGGTTCACCACTCTGAAACAAACATAACAAACATAAAAAAAGATTTAAGATTAACAAATGTTATAATAAAACTTTTCTATTCCATGTTCCTTTTTTTCTAGCTTAGATTTATTCCATTTACTTTTTATTACTTTTTTTTTCTAATGGGCTTTTTGTTTCCCAAATGTGAGTGGAATGCACTACAAAGTAAGGAGGTAAGATGAGATATTTGCATTAGTTTACACCTAAGTATAATGAACTAAATGTCAATTTGGTATAGCACCAATGCAATATGCTGCTACATAACCACTTACATTGGCATAAGGAACATACTCAAGATATATGGCATGATGAAGAGGGCAGTGTCTTAGAATCATAGAATCATTATGGTTGGAAAAGACCTTCAAGATCATCGTGTCCTTTCGTAAGCAGCTAGGTTTTACACTACAGAACCAGAACCAGAGTAAGAAAATACTGCATACTCAAAAGGGGTGGTCCTTCCATCCCCCTTTCATGCTTTCTTCTGCCTCTGTCCTTGAAAACCAACTGTTTATTCTCATAGGATTTGCACAATGTGTGTAGAAAAGCAATCCCAGTGAAACTATACCCCTGCACTACCGGTATTATTGTTTGGTTTTTGGCCAACCAGTCCCCCAGTGCAGCTTACAGCAAGACACACAAGAGCAAATTCTTTACAAATTCTGTTTTATAAACTCTCTTGTAACTTCAAAAATAAAAGATTACTCAACAAAGCTGAATCAATTAAATTATCAACCTCCATGATTGTCAATTTACCAAGCTAATTCTTAAGGCAAGGCATCTGTTAAGTGCTCTCAGAATTTTACCATTACCTTTGTAATTAACAGTAGTTCTGGAAATCACTGTGCAGCAACATTCTTGGAATTTAGGCAATTTCCTTTCCTCTATTATTTCTACAAGTGTTAAATGTACACATGGTACACTACACACTTTTTCTTGTTACAACTAGTAATTTCCCATGTTTTCCGTGTCTGTTCTGCATCCTTTTTCAATCCCACAACATTAGGAGTCAAAGGCTAAAAGGATACAATTTGTTTTCTGGCATCAAGCCATGCAGAGCCATACATAGCCATATAGAGAACATACAAACATACTATATTAATTTACCTTTCAGCATCAGTCTTGGAACCAATAAGGAATCTGAAATGTAAAACGTATAATATATTTTCAGTCGTTAATTGGACTAAACGCATAAGTTTTTACAGGTTTCACAAAGCTCTAAAAGAATGGAATGCTGCTCTCATTTGGGACCTGCCCAGTGACACAAGACCATATTAATTTGACAGACTGGATATTACTACTTAAATTACAAACTTGGGTTCATAATTATGTATACAATACACTATACTAAGGTTACATTGCGAATGATGGAGTAGTAATATGGATCCTTTAAAAGTAAATTCTCTGTAAAGCAAAGACATTATGAGAATTTTCTATTTTGTGTTTCCCAGAAACAGGAAGTGAATATTTGCTACAGAGCTCTACTATGAAAAGCAGTATAACAAATATGTACATAAACCAATGCTGCTGACATAAAAAAAATCTAAATTTTCGTTTGGTCTAAACGTTAAGAACAGGTTTTAACTAAACTTTTAGTTTTCATTATTTGATTTATCCTCATCATTTCCATATCACCCAATTAAGTGTTTTTCTATTGATTAATACTTTTGAAAACTATTTCATTATGAGAACTTGTTAGAACTTTTTCTTTTAACTATAGATTTTTCTCTGTTTCAGTCAAAAACATTTTTATTTTACTACAAAATGATGAAATGTCTTTCACTTCCAATGCTAGGATTCTCAAATGAGTAAGAATACAAGTTCTCATGAACTTCAATTGGTAGTAGCTTAAAAATTGTACACTAGAGCAGTGATTTTCAAGAAAAACTGAGCATCTGGCTTCTTTACATGCCTTTCAGTTCTCACCCCTATTACATGTGCGCAAGCCAGCACTGCTGTTTTGGATTGGGAAACAAACAGCAAATAGGTCAAGAAGTCCAGGGATAAAACATCCTAGAGCATGCAAATATTAAGATTTTTAATTAAAAGCAAAAGGTAAGAATTATATAGTATACAGCAATAAAAACAGAACTGGTTAACAGAACAGAAGTTTGTTCAAGCTAAATGCTCTCTGCCCTGCTGAAAAGTATAGGGTCTGCTCTGCTGCACAGGTTCATCCACAGAAAGAATCTGGCATGTACAGAGCCAAGAGCAGAGCTAAGAATACAGAACCCACGAGGACTAAACTTCTTTAGAGTTCATGTTTTCCTTCATCCTTTATTTATTTTGGCTAAGGTGCTCAGCATCGCTTTAATGCAAAAGCTTTCACACAGATTTACTATAAGAGAATATTTAATTATTATAATGGCTGCTTGAAAAATGTATCCTTTTTAGGCAGAAAATTTGCAGGAAAAAATTTCCAATTTTCCTGATAAAAGTCTTAGATCAGAATTCTAGTCCCTGAGTAAAATACAGTGAATTTGTTTTCATGACCAAAAGACTACATATTATTTGTCTTCTTTCATATATCAGGTCATAGCACAATTTCAAAGCATATGTAACTTACTGTGATGGAGTTAATAGGTTATCACTTTCATCATCACCTTTGAGTGTCTGAATTTTACCATAATACAATGGATTTCCAAGAGACTGAAAAATAGTCAGTTTTGTTTTCTGAAGTTGATTACCAACTTCACATTCGAACACATAATCATCTTTTACTTCCTAAAAGACAAAAGAAAATTACAAATTAATCTTAATAAAGCAATAAGAGAAAGAGTTAGTAAAACACACTACACATTTGCAGAAAACAAGAAACTCAAATAATACACTATGAAAAGGTGTTCAATATGTAAAGTGAAATGGATCTGAGAAAAACTTCTCTAAAAGGGTGGATGGATCATCTTTTAAAAATACAGAAATACAGTAAAACCTACACTAATTATGACTGATATGGAAAGGTAGACACAATAAACATATGCAGAAATAACTATATACAAAAAAAAAGTACAGAGTAGAACGCCAAAGATGAACTTTACCAGAGATGGGAAAGTACTACCTTTTGCCAATATGAAAGTGCAAAGACATCATGGCAGATGTTGATAATAATGTAGTATCTTGCCTCAGAAACCACAAAGAACCAATTATTTATTTATTACAAATATTAAATGACTTCTCCTTACCAAGTTATGTAACACATTTATATAACATATGGAATATTAAACTGGAGAAGGGAAGAGTATTCCTAGATTATTCGGATTTTGCTGAAATAAGAGGCATTTTAACTAAAGACAGAAAAGACTGGCCAAAGGTTTAAACTACTCACATGTGCTGGCCAGACAGTGGGCTGTGAATCATCAGGCTTGATGGACTTTTCCACTTTGGCATATTTTTCCACCTTAAACAAAATGGAGATATTAGAAAAGAAACAGATTTAATGTAGCACTTCACCTTGTTTTTAAAAGTGGCTAACATCAGATTCTTAGAAAGTGAGTGCAAGAAACAGCCAAGATAACTTCATACTTCTAAATAGCACCCCTCTCTGTGTTCAGCATTTATGAAAAGTGAACAGGAGAACTTTCAGAAGTTTACACTTGTTTTGTTTTACCGTATTTGCTCTATTACTTATAACTTAGCAAAAATGTTAAGAGGAAAACATGGATTAAAACTACAGATTTAAATCCCTGACCACAATGAAAAATGGTTAAGAAATCTGGCAATAGCAGAAACCCCTAAACTCTGATCGAGGCAGATATAACACTGCTGAAAAGCAAAGAGAGAGAAGGTCTGTATAACTTACTGCATCATTTCAAACATGTAATGCACGCTCCTGACAGGTCTATTAAGCCCAGCCTACACTTGGGCCAAAACTACAATCTCTTCTAGCCCCATCAGTAGATTAATAGAATATATTCTGGCAGTGCCAAAACCCAGGAATGTCTCAGGCCCTGAAAGAATAGTCCTTGATTATTTTCCTTTATATGTACATATAGTCTGAACACAAGATTTTCAAATCAGAATTTCTCTATATAAAAATACTAAATTATTGAAAACATAATGTCCTATTGTGTCATAACATGTCAAAAAAAAGAAATTTCTACCAAGCTAAATAACTAATTTAAAAATAATTCACCTCATTTTTGTTTCTGATTTTATATCATCATAAAGAAATCAGACAGGTGTGCACATTCACCTCACAGCTTGAAAATCCTGAAGGTCACTTTGCACTGTTTCATCCAAACCATTATGTTAAAGTTGCAACGTACTACAATGTGGCTTAGCTTTTATTTATACCTCACAGTGCACCAAAGTTTCTTCAAATGTTAAAAGACATTCCCATTTTTTTTAAATAGCATTATTTAATATCGGACCCTCTTAGTCATTTCCTTCTGCATGCAGTACAACAATAATTGATCTTGGAAACATCTGAACTTACATCCACTTCAGAAGGCGCAGTCAAGTAGCAAGGGTTCTGTTTCCACATATCTACACACTGAAAGATGATCAAGAACAAAGCAGCATTAACATTAAATAATTGAAGTAAACAGTTAAAAGTTCACCCACCTAAGTCTAAAGACACTTACATTTCCAGCTTTAGAAATTTTGAGGTCATACTGCTGGCCTCCTTTCCTCTCCTTTCTTTTCTGTAAGTAATCAAGTAGTCTAAGCTGAGGTGGTGTAGAATAATGAGCCACTTCCTGCTGCCTGTTCAGGGATGACCTGGAGTATCTTTTGAAGCACCTATGGTAAAATGATAGATGAGCTTGAAAAAAACCCACAAAAATCCAATAACCCATTGCCTCTATACAAGCACAAAAATATGCAGAAAAGTGCTATTTACATTGAGACTGGTTCTGAAACAGAAGAGGTTCTGATTTTCTTGACTATACTGTATAACTCAAGCTCTTCACATAAGGTTTTAAAAAAGTACTAGTATTCTGTTTAAGTACTTCAGCTCTAAGAACCTGTAATGTATTTTTGAAATATATAATGCAAGTACGTTGCAGATATTCATTTTAACAACGTTACCAAGGTTGTAAAGTTGCTATATTACCTGAAATTTCAGTTCTGTCAAAAGACTCGTATACCTATTGAAGAATTATAGTCACTGTGTTGTTCCGTACTATCCTGCACTCTTTGCCTCACACACAATCCTTTGGCACACTAATACTCTCTCTTTAATGTCACTTAAGACTTCTGCATATTTTCCAAACAGATTGATCAGCTATCCTTAAAATTAAAACTCTGAGGACCATATTTCAGTGCATATCTAGTTTTAAATATATTTTGGTAATTCTAATAGACTATTGGTACTTTATCATTCTATAGAATGAATGCACCTCTTTTATTAAATAAACTGCCAAGCATTTGAAGCTTTTGTGGAAAAAAAAGTGAACAACCAAGAACAAAAGTGACATTTTATATATAACACACTGCACATTGTTTATAAAGTTACTGTGGTCCTAATGTGCCAATACTTTTGCGTAGCCTTAATTTCAAGCACATAAATAATCTTCCCGATTTGCTCATTTAGGATTAAACTTGTAAATGGCTTTTAAAGGATCATGGACCAATAAGCAACGTATCAATTTATGTATTTCACATTACTGAGCTGACGTCTGCTTTAGCTTACCCCCTAATTAAGCAAGATTCTAGACAAGATCATAACTGCAACGTAAATCATTACGTTAAGAAAACAGTGTGTACAGTACGCAGTAATGTGTACAGAAATACACATATTACTGGATATGTTACTAATTCAAAAACAGTGCAAAATACAGCTCTAAAGAAGATACAGTTCCTTGATTGTTCCTAGAGTTTATTTAATTAGATTTGAATTTGAACACTGCACAGAGGAAGCCAAAGTTTTGATGTATAGTACTGTCTGTGTTTTTTGATGAAGCTCCCCATAAAATTTGGAAGTCCAAACACACTACAAATTCAAAAACTACCGTTTCATTGGGCGAGTATTCATCTTCTGCTTGTTGTACAGGAGTCTGTTGGTAGTGCAGGTCACTGCTATTGAAGGATCAAGACACAAAGGCTCTGCTGTTGCCAAAATAAGTTGACTCTCAAGTAGAAGTTTGTCCTCCTGTAACATATACAGTTATTAATGAACATATAAATCTCAAATCTTACAGAAAAATGAAGATTGCTGTGGAGAGTTGACAACAAAAAAATGTGATAAACAGTTATTGAGTACCACTATTCATTAGTGAGAGTTACAGCGCTGTGGATCAGGTTTCTAATCACTCATGAAGAGTGAATTTTCTAGAGCAGTAGTGGCAATGAAATCAATTGCCTGACAGTGAGTTTTTTCTTGATGGATTGGCATTCAGTTCCATAAAGACAATCTATATGGGACTTCTGGTTACAATTTGAAATTAAGTTGAACATGATTGTGTCTCTGCACTACAAACAAGCACTTTGAGAGCACCGTGTTCTTCAGCATTTAACTAACTGCACAACCCAAATCATTTACAATACTCTGAATTAATATCATTAGGTAAGTACTGCAACAGGAGCAATAATATTTCAACAGATTCCAAGGAGCACTCTGAAACTCTATGTTGGAGATGAATTGAACAGGGTAGACTAATTAGAGCCATTCTGACATCCTGCATGACCAAACCCAGATCTTTCACCAACTCCTATTGTACCCTGTGGTACCCTGTAGGAAGCCACTGCTAACAAGTCTGTGGCAGCTCTCTGGAACATGGGACGCAGTACTATAAAATAATTTAGGTTGGAAGGTGCCTCAAAAGGTCTCTAGTCCAACTTCCAGTTCAAAGCATAGTCAGCTTCAATGGTATCAGATCTTGAAAACCACTAAGACTAGAGCGGTTCTGGATAATCTCCAGATGAACCTCTCTGGGCAACCTATTCTACTGCTTGACTGTCCTCATGGTGCAAAATATTTGCAATATAGTCAGTTTGAACCTCTTGTTTCAACTTGACAGTTTTCATTAACCCAAAATATAACCAGTTTCTGCTTATGCAATTTCATTTTAATTAAGTTAATTTACTATACCACTGTAGAGTTTATAAGTAACCGGTGACTGACCTGTGTCCATTTGTGGTTGTCACTCGTTATAGAATGCACATCACAAATTAAAGTCTGAGGAAAAGACAGAACAGTAGTTATATTGCAAAAAAACAGTATTTTTAATAGTAGTTTATATCTAGTCTGGGAAATACTGTAACAGTGACGAATGACTTGAGACACTTCTTACCTGCATTGTAGGACGCAAAAGAATGTGCTTGCTTTGGTATGTTGGAGATTTCATATTCCCACACTGTCTATAATCACGTATTTCTGCTATGACACACCCACAATGAAAAATGTTAACCTAGTTGAAACAAACAAACAAAAGAAGTGTGAATTCCCAAATATCTCATTTCCCCTCTCCAAAAAGGAGTTTTCTATATATTTATTCTAAATACAACTGACAGGACTGATACCTAAAATCATTAGGTCCTTTGTTACTATTGTAAAAAATGTTAAATGCAATCGTAAATTATCATGAATTCATGTTTTTGCTCTGAGAATAAAGTTTATAAACAGAATATACCTATGAAGAAAAAATCAGCGCCAGTGCTAATTTGTGCAATTTCTGCCGAATTAGTGCAAATTGTAAAGTTGCTTCTGTTTATTAAGGTATTGCATAAAATCTATGGTGCTTATTCATTGATGTTATGCTTTAAAATACTCACTAGTTTTATCAAGATCAGTGGTCTTTACTACATACTTGGACAGATCTAACTCTCATCTCAAACACTCTATTTTCATATGCCAGAAATGTAATTTAAAAAATTAATGTCACATATGTCATAGAAACAAGAAACTTTTTGCAAGAATGCAGAATTCTAGTGGTTTGTCAGCATAAACGATAGTAATATATCTATTTCTTTTCCTCTAATACTTACGAATTATTTGTTCTGGGTATCAAGAAAATATTTATTGTGGGCATAAAATATGGCCCCAAATGCATAATCTTTCTGTGCCATGTTTGGAAACATCCATAAAAAGCATTTTAAGATCAAAGTCTATCTGGATACAAAACACGGCTTCATTTCAAAAACAAACTTTCACACCTGAGATTTTTCCAGAAGATCAACCAAAATAGGTGGTAGCTCCTCTGCATCCAAATATTCAAGCAGTTCTCCTTCCTCATAAGGCAGCCGAATGGTTTCAGAATCTGAATTTAAACAAAAGATACTGATTTTGCTTTTCAACTCGAACAAGGTAAAATTTAAAAGGAGCTCGTCAGATAGGCACTGATTTGTACAGGTGATTATGTTAGAAGCAAAACAAATGCAGACCCATTAAACGCAGGCAACTATAATAACATGTTCCAACAGTTTGTAAAAAACTCTAAATATATATATAGAAAATAAAAATAAATAGCAAAAATCTTACCTGAACCATTTTTTCCCCTGAGCATCAGTGAATAACCCTCATTTCCTGGATAAAGATTCACTACCAGACACGATAATGTCTCCTGCATAACCAGCTTCTCAAGTAAATTCACATTTCGCCTCAGCTTCTGCTTTAAAAGTAAACATTGCTCATGAACATAATACTATCAAGTAATTATTAGCAATAAAACAATCATTAAAATCTGAATACTATTTAGATCAATGTTAAAGTATATAGCTAAACAGACCCAGCTAAATTTAATTTGGCTGTATTCAACAAAGTATGCATATGTGTTAAGGAACATTGTTAGGCACACAAGACTTGTTTTTTGTAAAATCATTGGTTTGAATTTAAGAAAAGCATTAATTATAGGTCAATTGACAATACTATGATACAATGCTGTAAAACTACTGTGTACTATCATTTGTGTCATTTATGTGTGGATCATTTATGCAATTATACATTGCTAACAACAAGTATTTAATACCTTTGAATATTCTTAACAGAAGCAAATCCTTCCTTCCAGGATTAAAACATAGAATTACAGCTTTTGAAAGCTTCCTTAATCACACTGCCTTATCTGTATTTGTTGAAATCTGATCTAGCAGCTGTAGAGACTATTTCGGTAGTTATAAGAAAGATCATTTTCATAAATAACAGATTTAAAAATGAATATGTTTCTAACTCCATGTGCAAGTCTGACAACTTTAAACATTTAAAAGGCCCTCTTCACAAAAAAAATTGTTCTGTAAACTTCAGGTAACTTTTACACCTCCTGGTGGAAGACTTCATCACTGCACGCCAGCCTGCGTGGATCTATTCACCAGAGAGTGTCATGTGGGCACTGGTTCCCATCCCCAACAGCAGTTGTATCCCCACATTTCATACACTCATTAAATTGCAGTGCACTCTCTGCCTATCTTTATTTCACATAAAGATTGAAATGTTAATAAGCCAAATGGTAGAATGACTTCTTCTAGGGAGGCTGCTCCTAAGGGAAAAAGAACTCCCTCTCCAAAAGAAGACAAAACTGTGAAGAAAGGGATGTAGAAGAAATACATTCCCCCCTAACTATGCTGCTGGTACCACTGCCAAGGCCTAACTCTTTCCTACGCATCGTTATAATGGCAAGAACACCTCAATACCTTTCACAGCTTAGAAATAACATGGAAACTAACAGAAAAACGTGAAACAGCATAGAAATTCTGGATAATTCAAAGGGAAAGACCAGGAAGAGAGGGGGGAGAATGAGAGAAGACGTGTTCTGGCAACAAAAAAGGGTCAAGGCAGCCAAATCTTTACTAGAGCTCTGGAGATGTAGCTTGTATAAAATCTTCTTCAGCCAAGACTCCTACTAACCCCACAGGTCTCTACTATGAGGCAGGAGCCTGCGCGTGTCCTGCTCCCCTACCCAGTCACGTCACTGAGTGGGGAACCTCTAGAGATCCTTCACTTAGACACACTGAGAAGTAGCCAAAAGCACAAGCACTGAAAGCAAAGTCAGTGCTCTATTCCTCTGGCATCATTTAACATCTGATAGCAAAGAAGATTTTGGAGGAAATGTAATGAACTGCAAAATGGCATTCCCACTCCTGTGAGAGGAACACGGGAGCAGTTCGCAATGGTGGCTGAGGACTTGCCAACAAACATCCACTGGTCTTCGGTTGAACAAAAATAATTATATTCAGTGTTGGATAATTAATACTTTTCACAGTAGAATTCTCCCGTCACTTAACAAGAGGTTTTATGTAGGAGGGAGGAAAGGAATGTGAGGATTCTTTAAGATTTATTTTTGAAAAAAGGAACTGACATGCTATGCAAGTAAGGTTAACAATAGTCTGAAATCAAATATGCAGATTTCAAAATACTTGCATAGTAATTTGGTTTATCTAGAAATAGCTATAAAGCAACACAGAATAAATTTTAAAAATATTTTATTCTATCATTAGAACAGAATTAGTACTGCTTCTGGAGGTTGTTAGCAATATTGTTTAGTTACAATGAACACTGATATTTCTAATTCAACTTTATTATTCTCATGAGCTGAAGAAAATTGATCAGTCAATTAAGATTATTATATAGGCTAAATATAGGCACTGACTTTCTATTGACTACCTGCCACTTGGAGAATTTCTAAATAAACAATAGACCTTTTTCGAGAAATCTGCTCATGCGTGCCTATCTTCCAAATAGTGGAGAGAGATTTATTTTTTATAGAAAGCTGCTCGTAAGGACTAGTAACAAATACAATGGCAATGCATTTGTAAATATAACTTAATTCATTCAGCCACACTAACTTAATCAATTAATAACATCTTAGCATGTTTTTTTTTTATTAGTAACAATTGGCCAGTACATCTTGCAAGGCTTTTCTTTCCCTTTCCTTTTATTCCATCCTCCCCTCCCTTTTTTTTTAAAGTAGGAAAGGCAAGTAATGAATAAGACAGGGATAGGAAAGAGGAATGGATACCGCACTCGCATTGTCTATGCTGAACAGAAACTGTCACAATGTAAAACCTATATTAAAATGTAATGCCTTGCCAAGAAATCAGAGTAAACGTAAGCGGTTTAAGGGTAACACTTCAATAAATGGGAACAAAAACCATGTTTCAGTAAGGCTGTAAAGTCTCATAACCACAACATCAACTTTCTGGTTAGAGCTGGCCACAGCAGGTACGAGCTCCAAGCCAACACTAAACATAAGGTTGATGTCACCTGAAAACCTTTTTAAGATGGACTGACTGGGGCACATTACATTTCCCGAGCGTTTCTCAGCGCAGGCAGGGCAGCCGCCTGGCTCTGCTGGCCGAGTTTGCTGGCCCCAGCCCGGGGGCCCTGCCGTGCAGTGCAGGCCACGCACCGGTGCCCCCCTTGTCGCAGGCACGGCCCATTTCTGGGGAACCTGACTCTGAGCACCCCCCCAACAAAACTGAGGCAGTCGTCTTATGCTATGCCCATTCTTGTCTAGGAGTGAAATGCGACTTTAATAACTTATCCTTGGATGGTGCACAAATTACACAAATAAAACTAGAGTTTAGGACT